GTGGGCTCAAGCAGGTTGAGAACTCCTTACAAGACATCAGAGGACCTTCATTTATAATATAAAGAATGATCTCCCTCATCAGCCACCCTTGAGCAGAGGGTTGGAGTAAAGACCGTCAAGGTCCCTTCCAACTCAGTTATTCTGTTAATTACATAAGAGTTGTGATGGATAAGATCACTGGCCCATCTTATCCAGTATTCTGTTTCCTAAATAGCCCAAATCACTTCCTGCTGTGGTTCCCCAATGTGTAAAGTTATAAAGCTATTTAGTTTAGATAAAATAATACATAGAGTTATTAATTATATGTAAGGGGTAGATATATACATATGTTGTATATAGCATGTTTATATGCATGTTATGTATGTGTACACTTCTGAGAGCAGGCAACAGAATTTCATTTTTAATGTGTGCCAGTGTGCCAACAGTAAAAAATGACAATAAAGGTCATCTCATCTCATCTCATCTCATCTTTTTTCAATAATGCTTATTCCATTGTTTAAGCTTAATAAAATTTTAAAAGATAAAAGTTTAAAAAGAACTAGAGAAATTCTAATTCTAAAAATTCTAACTCTTTGTTACTAGTAGTCATTCTGATTTTTTGGGCCCTACTGCTGAAATCCTTGAATTTCCCATGAATACAGTATATCAACTAATCTTTGTGGATTCCTCTGTATGAAATCTGCTCTTTGGAAAATTCCATAATTTATCTCTGCACTGTCTAAAAGTTTTGCATTTATCTAGCTTGACTCCTCCATTGTTCAGCTTGTGTGGATGACCTCTGTTCTACTGGTAGAAAGAAGCGAAAAATGTTTTCCTTATTGATTTTCTCCATAGCTTGCATAACTTTATATACCTCCATTGTAGGACTTCTATATTCATCATTTTTCAATGTTTATATAACAGCTTGGAGTTGTTCCAGCCTCTTGCTCATTTTGATTACCTTTCCTGCCCTTTTTCCAGGAATGTAGTTTTTGAAAGGTGTGATGGGTAGAAAAACAATGAACACAAAGACCTCCACTTCCTTTCTCATGTTACTTTTATGACAGAGCATGTCAAGCCTTTTTTAAAAAAAATCTATTTAATTTTGTTTTAAATCCTTGACATAATGCCAGTGTCTTTTTATCAACAAATCTTTAGTATGAATGAGTTTAGTCAAGCAGAATGAGCTTACTTTATTCTTCTGTCTTCCACTGTATCCCACAGCCAAAGTCTATATGCCACAATAAATAATATTTATTGAATGTGATGTAATTTGTGGATGTAGAATAGATTTTTCTTATTTACACTTGAATCCATACATGTACCATAAATATAATATAATCTCTGTCTACAAGTGATGCAATGTTTTATTTTGGAATTGTCTTTCTAATGATTACTCTGATTATTAATCTTTATAGTTGCACTCCATGCTCAATAAATCCATAATTCTACATAAAGTGATAAGATCCAGGTTTTTTATATGTAATTTAAAGATACACTTACATCAGGGGTGTCAAACTCAATTTCACTGAGGGCCGCATCAGCATTGCGGTTGCCCTCGGAGGGCTGGGTGGGTGTGGCCAGGGTGGGTGTGGCCTACTGGGTGGGCATGGCCAGCTCTACATCATTTGCGTCAAGGGTGCCTGTGGGGGCCTGGGCAGGAGTGAGACAGATCTGAGGTTCTCTGGCAGAAGGGGGTGGGACCGGGGCAAGCGCCAAGGCATGGTCCATTTCTTCATTCCTCACAAAGGGTGACATCTCCCCAGCATAGACCTAGGAGGCGGGGCCAACATGGCAGGAGCTGGTTCCTCACTTTTTCTAGACGGCCTTGTGGAGCTAAGACTGAATGTGTTTCAGCATAGATGGCTACCACAAAATTGTACATTGGCTCCCGGCGGGCCTGGGCCAGGACCAAGGCAGCGGGGGCTGTTCCCTCTCTGTTTCCAGGATGGCTTCACGGGCCACATGAAACCACTTCGCGGGCCACATCTGGCCCCCGGGCCTTGTGTTTGACATGTCTGACTTACATGTTTAAGCTATATTGATTCTTGCATTGGAATATTAACAAACCTATGGATATTAAACCCAAATGTGATAATAATAAGAGTAAGTATCCCCTCACCCATTTTAAAACTCTATCATAATGTGATTGACAGCCAGCCCTTTTAAAATATTGGAACATGACAAACAACATGGGTAGTCTTTGACTTACAACCTGCCATTTATTGATCTTTCATTTCTTTAACAGAGTAGGTGTTTTATAGCCTCTGGCTGTTGTAAATGATTGCCCCCTACCACCCTCACCCCTGCAGTTACATGACTGCATTTCTGGCACTTGGCAACTTGTTTGTATTTACGACTGATCACCAAATGCTTTGCAATTATTTGATTGCCACTTGCAATCTGGAGTTTGACCCCCACAGGACTCACAAAGTCCTACCTTTCTGTCCTTCCAAGGTTGGTAAAATAAGGACCCAGATCATTGGAGGCAATATGCAAATAATGCTTCAACATTGCAAACTATCCAGAGAGTGCTGTAAAGCGCCATGGGGAGGTGTATAAACCTCAAAGCTATTGCTATCATAAAAAAGAAAAAAAATGAAAATATAGGCAATCCATATTTTTCATGGCAATAATCAGTGATAGTATTAATATCCCTACTTGCTCACAATTTTAAATAAGAGTTTACCCGAACATTTCAAACTGGGATTATATTACTACTTATTGCTGTCATGCTGATTTCAATATAGATTCCTTAGGAACAGTAAAAAAACAGAAACAATGCCATATGGGGCTGACATCCTTGCCCCCATTTCTTGCTCCACAACTACAAAAAAGCTGGTCATTTATTTTGAGTATTGGGCTGCAAAACTCTAGAAGGGCATTAGAATTGCCATTAGAAGGTAATCAAGGTATACTGTACAAGAAAAATATTCTTGCTGTCCTCTAGGGGTCATTCTGAGGTTAATGAAGATAGCTGCAGTTCAGACCAAAAAAAGCAGAGCTTTGCTGGAGTTGCCATATTGACTTTTTTTTTTTTTTTTTTTTGCCATTTCCTGCAATCACCCTTGAGAGGGAAAGGCCTGTTTTGGGTCACTGAGGCAAGGAGAGTCTCATAGGAGCCCAACCTCCATTGCTGTGGCCACAGTGGGAAAGCAGGGGCCAAGTAACCCTCATCTTTTCTTTCTCCATAGCCTGGCTATGCCAGATGCTTGAACTTTTTTATCTGTATAGAACCCATTGGGAAAGTCTACCTTGGGCCTCCACAGCTTTCTATATTAGCCCAGAACTTACAATATTATCCAGAAGAATATTCTTGACAATTCTTGACAAGCACATGAAAATCAGACATTGATGAGATAGTCATGTGTGGCAGTAATTAATATTTTAACTGAATTTTAAATTGTATACTTATATTTAAAATGTACCAAGTCTGAGATAACCACAGGGACTGATAAGATCTGTCATTAAAATGGTCAATCTTACATATTTTGAGGGACCCATGGTAGCATAAAATATGAATGCAACCTTGACATTAATGCATGATAAAAGTGTCAGATAATCCATGTATTTATAGCTTGAGAGTGTACTCCAGCTTTACCTGTCTAGGCAATAGGCTTCTTGAAATTGTGCTGTGTCTCTTTGTGTTACTTTTAAGAAGGACTATAGAAATGTTCTCTTCTTCCTCCAAATGTGATTGTATCTTTTTATGTTCAAAGGCATCGACCTTTGGTGCATTTCAAAACCTTTCGAATCCTCATTCCAACATCCAGACCTTCTCTTGAGTTTTGTGAATGGATTTTTAAAAAACATTTTATTAATATTTTGAAATAATAACATATTTGTAATTATTCTATATAATTCTGTATTAATTATGCTTTATCAAAAATGTTGATATACCACTTCGAGATGTTTTTGATATGGGCAGCTCCATACAAAATAGATAAAGTAAATAAGTACTGACCAACTGTCTTTTAGATTAAATGCATTTTTCAATACCATTATGCTTGGCTGGCATTCTCTCTCTCTCTTTTTGTTAAGGTATGGAGGAAGTTTGATTATTCTGCAATGTTCCAAACAGGTCAGCAGAGTGAAAGCCAATTTTAAAATATTTTATTCTAGTGAAATATAATATGCTTCATTTTGCAGATTTTGACAAACCAGAGAGCAAAATGCTTGTTGTTTCTTTTCATTTGACTTGCTGATATATTCAGAAAAAGCATCTCCTATTTACAGTAAAAAGTTAACTAAACTAAAAGCCAACTAAAAGTTAAGCCATGCTGGAACAACAAAATGTCTCCAAACTAGAATATCTCTAATTCAGAGCAATAGGAAACAACTGAAATCTTGGGTGGATCAAAAATTGTAGTCTTTAATGTAGTCAATGGGGAAATTATTAAATTCAAGTTGCCTTAGTCACTGTGTTCAAATAATTTAAGTTAATTTTAATTAAATATAAATCTAATCTACCAACCAGATTCACTTTTTTGGAATACAGCATCTGGGACATCTGTCAGAGACTCACATTGAGCCTTAGTTTATGAAAGACTCTTGGATTATGATATGGCAGAGGCATTTTCCACACTGCTAGAGGCCCCAGTGAGCTTGGGTCCAAGCTCAACACATTTTAGGCAAAATGTGCCTTTTATGTATGATGCCCAATGCCAAACTGTAAAACAGGATGATGGAGTTCTTATGCTTATTCCAGTTTTTTTAGAGCCTTCTGTGTTGGCCAGGAATTTATAGGAGTTAAATCCAGGACATCTGAATGAAGCTCGTTCAAGAAGATTGATCTGACAGGATGGGAAAGGACAAGACAGGACAGGACAGGACAGCTGTCTAACAAAATATGGATGCTAAATATCCAAGAGTGTTGGGTTCTCGATCCTTTTAAAAGATGAATTGCTTTTGGATTTGGGGTGTGCATAAGAAATTCATCACCTACATACATTCTCTGTCCATCTCAATTTTTTACAGTTTAAATCACAAGGCATTTTATAAGTGACAGAGGATAAAACGAACAAAGCACAAGTTTTTTTTATTGCTGGTGAATTCAAACAGGCAATTTTAATTTATGGAGGAGGATACACATACAAGCAAAAATTTAACTGAGTTATTTCATTATTATGCATCTCAAGTGCCAGTATATCCTCCACTGCCTTTTGGTGACTATTATCAATAATATAACTATCATTAATAATCCAGTAATAAACATCAGTAGTTTGGTTCTTTCCCCACCACCTCCACATCCATTTGAATTGGGAAAAAAATAAAAGAAACATAAATAAATTGAAAGTGAAAAATCTCTGGCTGCTAGTAAGTTGATTTCCTCCAGACCAGAAATGAGATCTGCACAGCCTGGCTAATAAGATAACCTGGAGAGAATTTCGCATTGAATTAAAGGAAATTTACCCAGTCAATGAATTATCTGATGGATGTTGAATGGCAATATTCCCTGACCTGGTACCTCCAGACATGCTACCTGGGGATTTGTCCAATGCATCTCAAGCACACCAGGTTAAAGAAGATTTCTGCATCAACAATATTAACAATTAATAGCTCAGCCTAGATTCTGGCATACACATTTTCTGTATTTGTGCATGGAAATATTTGTGCACAATATACCAAAGAAAATGACATCAAATAAGTTTTAGAAGTGCTAATGTAACAGAGGAAAATGCAACACATTTGCAGAATGTCATAATTATTGACCCACTATGAAACATCAGGTCATTTAGAATCAGATTATTGTCTCCAATCCCTAAAGAACATAGAATTGTATTACAGTATTGTCAAATGCAGGGAAATGGTATTACCAGTAGAAAAATCCAACTCCTTTGTAGTCAGTAATTTTACTATCTTTAACCTTCATTTAGTGCACTTGTAATGCAAGAGTCCGACATGATGAATGGATAACATCATCATTAACTTACTAACCCCTGTAGCATGATTTCATAAACTTCAAGTGTACCAAGAATATATATCTTCAAGTAATGGCAAGACTGAAGTTCTCTAGCCTTTTCCAAGGCTTCACAGATGATGGTTACCAGAAAGTGCAAATGTGGCCCATTTCCTGCCACATGTAAAAGAAATACGATTCACTCCACTATCTTATTTTTTTTTAGTATGGATAGCCATCATTGCAAGGCTAATAACAAAGGTTTCTGCTCTGCATGGTCCCCCCCTTTCCTGAAACATAGTTTGGATCAGAAGCGATTAAAACTAAAAAAAAGGAAGAATTATAAGAATTTTTATATAAATTACAAAGTTTAATCCTGTTAAGTGTATCAGGAGAATAAATACAGTAGGGCAGACTTGGGAATACTTCCACTGCTAATATTCCTGCTCATCCACTACCAGCAATGGATTATCAGGTCTGTGGGGAAATGTAAAGAAATAAAATAATCACTCTCTGAAAATATCTATCAAGTTAATATTACCTTCATTCTTAATCATGACCACATAACATTTACTCAGGGTAGCAGTTTGCCCGCTTTGTTGTTCCTAGAATAGAACTCAACCCTTCCAAATCTATTGCCATCAAGGCTATAAGTAGCAAAGTTCCCTGGCAGTGCAAACTGGGGGCAGAGAGTTCTTCAAATGGTGGTCCTAACCTATCAGGTGAGCAGATCTACAATAAAATAACTGCCAGATAGTTAAAAATTAACAGTTGTCTACCAAACTGCAAGACAGTCTTATTTTAAAGAAAAGAGGTGGTGCCACCACGAAAGTACAAGCCCATTCCGTTGCTGGTGCAATTCCATCTCAGGGCATTCCGTTCTATGCAAATGATATCTGGACTTTTTTCTGGTCCAAGAAGCCTAGTGATAGCATATCTTCTTAAAGCTATTGGATGTATTTAGTTCAAGCTACTCCCTTCCCTTTTTTAATTTCTCTTTCATTCTATGAACCTAAAGAACAGATTCTTTTGATGGCTTCCAGAAAGAACCCCTTCTTGTTCATTGCTATTTCTTCTTTAGCTGTCCCTGCATATATCACATATTTCTCTTGGGACATTCACTTTGGTCCCTGACTCCAGAATATCTGCAGCCCTTTTGTGTTGTTTTCCACTCACTTGAACCATCTTGAAGGATGATCCTTCAAAGTTCCTCCCCAGCAAACATCGACAGTTGCTCATAAATAGCTTTATGAAGAGATATTGCTGCACTACTAATTCTACCATTTGTACATTGAGAACACCACCGCAGAGAAGATCAATACAAAAAAGATTGACCACAGGCCTTTCTAGAGTCTGTCCTGCAGGATTTCCACTCCCAATTAATCCAGGCATCAGGCAAAGATTTCAATGTGATATCAGTAGTCCATATTTATAGACACTTGGATTTATGAGACTAGAAAATTCCCCATGGAGGAAGCCAGAGAAGATTTGGATGATGTAAACAGTCACAATGAAAGTTAGCAAGAATCAGCTCTGAAGGAGCCCTCCTGTTGAGTTCCACCAGAAAGTATGAGAGGAAGAGGTAGAGAGGACTTTAGCCATTTTTCTCCTACTTTTTTGCCTACATGTCTATAATGCAGGTTGTACAGCAATGATTGACTTTATCCAGCAAAATAGTTCTTTATTTAAAAAATAGGTACATGAGAGTGGGAAACACTCTAGTGCGCGTCGTAACAGATGATTCAAAAAGTAATATTTTTATAGAAATTCAGCAGGATGTCCAGCACCATAATACTATACACTGTGGTGCAACTTAAAAAAGCCATAAGAAAAGTACACAACAGGGCAAGTTCTATCTCCACAGTAGTCTGCCACTTTGTTGGGCTGTTTCAACAGGAATTGATTTTTCCTTGACTGCAGCATCTCAGGTCCCATGGGAGGTATTGGTTGCAAGCAAGCACCTGAGTGGAATATAAGCCAATTCTAAGTCAACTGGGGATATCTGTGGCTATCTACTAATGTTATTTGAACAATTTGGGCCAGCCTTTTGTTTTTTCAAACCCAGATATAATAAAGTATTGATCACAGAATTGTTTTCAGAATAAGTTACAAGTCAAACTATCTAGTCAACAGGTAGTTGACAATGATACTTGCAGGGTTGTTGTTTTTTTTTTAAAAAAGGAACCAAGAGAAAGAAAGAGAATAACATTCATAGAAAACCTACTGATTCCACTTTTTCATGCATACCTCCAAACCCAGGAGGTTTGTTTATCGTACAGGAAACAGGAGTTTTGCTGTTGAGGCCATCATCCCAAGTCTCTAATGAAGGGGCAGGAGCGATTGCTTAGTCTTAGCGTAGTCTAAAGTATAATTCAGTTAGTTTTCACATGACCATTGGCCAAAGTTGCAACAGATGTGGGTACACCTGGTTCAGCATTCTCATCAAAACGCAAACGCAGGGTGTTCCTGATGACTAGCTGTTCCATGATAAATGCTGCACAGAACCATGGGATGGCATACTCCAGGGTTATGAGGCCCATGAAGTTCAAGTCAAACTGTGAATAGTCCCATGGGCAGGCATTAAACTGGCGTAGAATGAAGCCAGTTGTGAACTCCCAAAGATATGTCCATAGAGTGTAAATCAGGCAGCGTACTAGTATGTTACACTTATCCTTCAGGTACAGATACATCTTTTCTACAATGAGGATGGACGTCCCATAGATGAAGAGTGCCCATACACTGGTGACACCTGGGAATTTCCAGTTGAAGTTGACCACAAACTCCCAAGCAGCTGTGAACATCACCTCGCAGAAGTAGCCATGAATGGCATAGAGGTACCAACGGGAGAAAGCAGTCAAAGGTTCTGCAGCTGCCATCCTTCCACACAGTCCCCAGCAGGAACTCTGCAAGAAAACACACCCAGGGAGATAAAACTATTAATGTTACCAAAGCCAGATCTTGATGTATATATACAACATGTATCATGCAATAGGTAGCCAAAAGGTGTCCAGATCCTAAAATCACTGGCTAAAGAATAGAATAAAAACTGGAGGCAACCGGCAAAAATTAAAAAATGGGAGGAGTACCTGCTTTAGGTTTAAATTTAGAAATGAGCTGCACTTCAGGTCTAAAACCTCAAAAGGATTTCTGAACAGTTATGGATGCTACAGATATTGGTACTTCCCTAGAAACAGCATCTTTTTCTGAGCTCCCACAGTAGATACACAACCCTAGAAAAATATATGTTTTAAGTTAAGAAAGCACCAACACTCAGATATGCCTGCTCCAGTTCCATAGCCAAATGTTTAATTTACATTTAGAACCAAAATATAATTTAATGCATTGACAGTCTGCAGTTTAGAGACTTTTATCCTCTCTGCAGGATACATAATAATAGTGTTTGGGCTCATACAACACATAAGCCCAAAACCAAACAACCATTTTAAGGTTTAACATATTGATTAATCAGACTGCTTAGCCAAGAGTTTTGTACAGCTCTAATCCAAACAGAAAGCTTAACAGAGGACTGGAAATAAAAGAAAGACAGGTGAAATACAAAAGAATAAAAAAGTAGTGAAATGACACAAGTATTATACAGTTTAGTAAGAGAGGCAACAAAAATAATAGGTCAGCATATATATATCAAAATGATAATTTGGCTAGATCAGCGTTTCTCAACGTTTGTGTGACGGCGACCCCCGTCATACAAACGTGCCGTGCATGTGTGGCGGCACCCCCTGAGGGGGGGAAATGGCAGATTGCCTTGTTTGGCGACCCCCGTAAAATGGTCGATCAACCCCAAATGGGGTCGCGACCCATAGGTTGAGAACCACTGGGCTAGATGAATGAGGTCCATTTTTACTCACCCTTTGCCCTTAAATACTTATATTTCCCCTCCCATTTTTCAAATTCCTTCAAGAATGAAGAGCAAATGACACTGAAGAAACAAAACATACTACAGAAGTTCTTGACTTACAACCACAATTAAGCCCAACATACTGTATCTGTTGCTAAGTGAGACATTTGTTAAGTGAGTTTTGCTCCATTTTACGACCTTTCTTGACACAGTGGTTAAGTGAATCACAACAGTTGTTAAGTTAGAAACCCAGTTGTTAAGTGAATCTGGTTTCCCCATTGACTTTGCTCGTCAGAAGGTTGTCAAAGGTGATCACACTGCAACCATCATAAATATGAGTCAGTTGACAAGTGTCTGAATTTTGATCGTGTGACCATGGTGATGCTGCAATAGTTGTAAGTGTGAAAAAATGTTATAAGTCACTTTTTCAATGCCATTATAACTTTGGTCACTAAATGAACTGTTGTAAGTCAAGGACTACCAGTAAGCAGCACTTGGCAATAGTGATACTGTCTGCTTTGTAGATGGCCTGGTGAAAATATGGAATCTTAATAATAAAATGGATTTAGATGAGTTTCAACCAAATTAAATCCCTCCCATCTATGCCTATGTTCATCAGCTACTATCCTCAACTCCAATCTACACCCACACACACATATATAGATACAGTGCAAAGATTCATTTCAGGTCCCACATACTTGACCTTACTGTGTTCTTGCTCAAATCAAGACTTTGTATTAACTCCAAATAAAAATATTTAGAGACCCCTTCAGTAACACTGAAATGTATAGTGCTCTGCTACTGATGGTCAAAATGGCAGTGTCTGTACCTGTTGCTGAAAGGGAATCATATGTAGAAGACATTCTACGGTATAGTGAAAAATGCCATATTGTCGATGCCAGCTGGGGTGGTCTTCCTAGTTCCACCCAGCCCTCTAGCCACTGCATCGTACCAACTAACTCCATCTGTGGAAGCCAAGGGCTATCCCACCATCAATGACCTGCTGTGACCTTTCATCTGGCTGCAGAGCAGAGAAAGGGGGGAGGGGGGAGAGAGGGGGGGAGGGAGGGAGGGAGGGAGAGAGAGAGGGAGAGGGAGAGGGGGAGGGAGGGAGGGAGGGAGGGAGGGAGAGAGAGAGGGAGGGAGGGAGGGAGGGAGAGAGAGAGGAGTCAAGGCCATAGCATCAGCATTGCTGAGGAACCAATGCTGTGGGCTTTTCCTCTACCTGGACTGTTTACATCCCAGTGGCTTTATTAGGATTTTGTAGCAGTTGCTAGGTCCAAGTTTACTCTTTTCTTCCTCTCTTGCAATTCTTTTTCTTTTTTTGCATCTCTCAGATTACAAATTTCAGAGTGAGGATTTTTTTAAAATTCATTTTGGAAAACCACTTTGGAAAGCTTTTATAGTAAAAAACAGGGCTGAAATGTTTTGCCCAAATAGGCTTGTATTTTATGTCAGACGCTTCTGAGAGAAAACACAGTTTCTATCCCCCAGGGAAACCTGTCCTTCCAGGAAGATGAGACAGAAGCAGAGCCGCTGAGAAGAAAGAAGACAAATGGGGCCAGGAGGACCAAGCTTAATGACCTGCTGAATTAAAATATTCACTTTTGTATTTATTTTTGTCAGTTGTGCTAGAGCCTCTACATTTTACATCAGGAGAAGAACATTTGTTACATCTGTGGGGCATGCTTAAATGGAAAGGCAGTGCTAGTACCTACTTGGTATCAAAGGGTTCTCCATGTGAGATGAAGACAATGCTGTTGGCATTCTGCCTTTGCCTGTTCTATAGTAGTAATAAAAAAGAAAAATCAACCCCCACAATGAGACATTTTCAGGCCAGTATCCCACTTTAGGCCTCCTGAATGTGGCACATTATCCCCTGCTCCCTAGGCTGGATCCTACTCAGCCTTTTTGAGTCTTGTGAAGTTGTCATCGATGAAGTCATAAAAGAATTTTTGCTGACCTGGGAATAAAGTAGGTAAGAGCATATTTAAAAGTAATAGTGGGGGAGGCAGTGTCTATATCTTCATGCCCAGCTGTGCCAAAAGGTATATGTTCTCGGTGACTTTTATGACATTCAGGACAAGCCACGGCATGCTGTTCTACTCCACCAGTAACGTTCTTTTTTCTCTGTTCAACAGTCAGCTGCACAATTATTGCAAAATCCTCCCTGAAAATGTGCACGTTCAGTTGGAAGAAATGATGTATATAATACAAAAAAATACAAAATATGAACTAAAATGAAGATGGGAAAAATACCAAAGGCTCTGCTAATTGGAATTATGGGCTTAGGTAGCCCAGCACATCTAGAGAGTTCTGTGTCGAAGAAGGCTGTTATAGAATATGTTCAAAATATTTTTCTACTTATCAAAACTCCACAGCAATATGTAGTTTAAAATAAGATTGCAGTAACAGAATAACCTGAAGCAAAATTAAAAAAAGACATGGAACTTCTTTGTAACCAGTGTGAAAGCACAGCAAAATATTGCAGATTTTATTGCCTATTAAACATACAGTCAACTGGTACCAACCAAACCTTCTGCACAAAGCTTTCCACCTAGCTCCTGCTACAAAAGGAAGACAAAAGTAAAGATGTTTCACATACAAATCAACTTATACTTTTTGTGTGATGGGATATATCACAGGTCCTTTGATGAAGAATGCAAATTGCTGAAGGAGGCTCTTCAGATATCCTAATTATGTATGTAAGAGCCTTTTGGATGTAGTAATTAAGACATTGAATTAGGAACTGGGAGACAGTGACTTCTAGTCCAACCCTAGGCATTAAGCCAGCTGGGTGGCCTTGGCCCTGTCACTCTGTCTCTCAGTCCTAGGAAGCAAATTATGAAACCTTGCCAAGAAAATGGCAGGACTATTCCAAGCAGTTACCAGGAGACAACAATGATTCAAAGACAAAAAGAAAAAAAAAACCCACTATCTGTGAGTGTGTTAAAGTAATCTAAGCAAGAGCTAATTAATGCATGAATCATTATGCCTGGATCCACTGCTTTAAGGGAAAGGACGCAATTGGAATATTAGCCATTTGGTCCTCCAAAAACAGAACTTGCAGAAACAATGCCTATTCATATTAATAAAATCCTTTCTCATTCTCCTGCCAACAGAACACTCAATTAAGCAAATGTTACATTTTACTATATGTGTAAAGACAAATATAAATGAAGTCAATTCATATTTTTCCCAGAAACTATGAGATCCCGAGCTATTTCAAATCTGACAGTAATTTGACATGCAAAATCTCCCAATGAAATTAATTGGAGGGAATTCAATGTTCAGTTCTGGGACCAGCTTCATTAGTTTGGGCAGGGAGACTGCTAGGCAACAGAATAGATGGTACATCAAAGGTAGTTAACTACTCTATCACCAAATTCAAATCTTGTTTTAAGTGTGCAAATGAGTTAAATTTATCAATGCAACTCAACAACTTTACCAACAGGATCTGTTCTGCTCTGGTATTAGGAAACTCGGAATAGTATAAATGCAAGAGAATGTATATGTAGATTTTACCAAGTTAAACTTTCTCCTTAATTAGGGTTCTTTTCTGTTCATTAGGGTTCTCCTCTTTAGGTACCTATCATCACCTTTACCTTCCCCCCCCCTTCCATTAAGTCATGCCTGAAATACTGCCTGGAAAAGTCCTTACAGTTTTCTTGACAAGATTTTCCCTAGAGATGAGAGAAAGTGACTGGGCCAAGGTCCAGTTGGCTTCGTGCATAAGTGGGACTAGAATTCACAGTTCCCCTGATTTCCAGCTGATTCTTTAATCAGTACACCAAACTGGCTAGCCATCTTCAAATCTTCCATTTCTCAGTGAAGTTAATCAAGAAACAATCTTCTCCATTCTTGCTCCCATCCCCCCACCACACACACACCTTAAATAAATAACCGGGACACTAGGTACAACTTGCTTTGACCGAGGTCACTGCCCTTTTCCATTAGCGTCTCTGTTATGTCCCGAGCCTTTGCAAACGGCTCGGGCGTTTGCAGGCAGTCCCGGGCAGGTGCAAAGCTGCCCGGGACCAGACAGGC